TGGTACAACTTACCGTTCTGGAGTTAGATTAGTATAGTTCGCGGCTCTAAGCGCCGCGCACACCTTCAATTTACATGCGGATCAACTTACTCTCAGCAGCCGCGGGAAGCAACTTCGACTACATTTTTTCACTTAACACTTACTTCTAAACTTCCTTCTCTGCCTATCCTATTTCCCCACCCCACAAAACTCAATAACCACCGTTCTCCTTCTCTGTCTATCCTGTTTTCCCACCCCCGAGAACTCTATAACCACCGTTTATTCAGGACAAAATGCTGGGACTAGGAGTATATGAATGGGGCTACATAAGCTACTTTTGCTGGTGGCGCGAGCGTGGCGGTTGCAGAAAGTGAATGATTCTTCTGGACACCAAATGACCAATCACGTACTTGCAGTGGGCTGGAAGGATATTCGCTCGCAAGTCCCAAATAACTCGATAGAACCTAGCCACACTTTCAGGTTAGGTAAAAACTGCGTGGGCGTCAGGTGTCCAGCCCATTCCCCCCGTCAACAAAAGAAATGGTTACCTGCCTACCCCCGCTTCCGCGTTAACACTTCGCCATTACATAGTAATTTGTTTTGCGAGCAGCACGCCAATGAACGCCGTTCGCAGTGGCACATTGACGGTCAAAATTGTCCGGTCATTATCACGCTAATCAGCAACGACGAGACTGACATGGGTGTGACCCATCGAGTAATTATCACATCCAGCATGTCCTTCTGTGATGAACGCGGAAGCTGCTGTCTTGTTATAGCAACCGCATCCTAGCAAAGGCGCCTCTTGTACGTCCGTTATCTTGTCTGTTTTTCCAACCTCTGATGATGAGTTCCAGAGCAAGTCCAAAAATCAGATGCCATTCTTCCTTAAGAGGATGAATATTCTCCAACATTGCTGCATGAATTTGGCATTTTTCGGTTGCATTGGGCCAAAACTAGATTCGGAAATCTGAATTATTCAAAGTTAGAATCTTCCCTGCCGTATTAGCACCTATACCGTCTATGCAATTATTACAGCTTGCTGGACTGCCGCTGATAACCACTTTGGACTTATTTTCCGTCATTGCTCAGTATTAACCAAAACCCCAGGTGACAAACCCGAGATTTATTTAGGATCGCGCCAGGCTCGGAAATAGAAAATCGTCAGCCTAGATTTTCCGATTTGAATTACCCCCCTCCCCCGCCCTGACGAAAATCAGAAGACACTGAACGCAATTATGGTTTTCTCTTCCCAAAACCCGAGCAACAGCCCAATTGAAAGACCTGAGGGTAGTTTATCGAAAGCAAAAGCTACGCTCGAGACCTTATTTTTAGATAATATTTCAATGGAGACTTTGGTGACTTTGCAACAGAGAAGATTTTACGCAAAGATCGTTACGAGCCACGGACGTATTTGAATGTAAACGCAGATAATAGGTTAAACGCACAACTATCGTAGAAATTAGAGGTCTCGGTAGCAGCGGACACGCCATCCAAGTCACCGTAATGAGTTTTCGACGACGCCCTTCATGAGCTAATGCCTCTTGAGATCAGACCCTAAACCAATAGAAAACCGTCTCAGTGATTGGTCAACAAGTCGGCCTTGGGTCATTCGAGCAAGTAGACTTGTCACACCTTGGCCACGAGACCCTTCACTATTGGTCATAATGAATAGCGATTAAAGGTTGGTAAAATCAAGCCTCATTGACTGCAACTGTTGACAGCAGTGCTCGTTGCGTAAGGCTTCCCAATGGACAGATCGTTTCCTGGCAAGAAATACTGTATCCTGGGCCTCGGACATCCGCTACAGGACATTCAAGCAAACGTGAATGAAAAACTCCTCAAAAGGTATGGTCTCCGAGCTAATGGCGCCAAACTCTCAGGACCTGGTCAGAAGGGTCTCCATGAAGACCTTCTTGCCAATTTTGATCTCACCTATGTAGCCGGCGGATCTGCACAGAACACCATGCGAATGATTCAGTGGCTCCTCCAGGACCCAAAAATGATCAGTTGCTCCTATCTGGGCTGTGTAGGGAACGACAAGTCTGGTGAACTTCTGCTCCAGATCATGGAAGCGACTGGAGTGCAGACGGTGTATGAGGTGTCGGATACACTCCCT